CTAGCACATAAGGTGGCATTAAAATTGTAGGGAAAAGGTGTTAACTTCGTAGAGGGGAAACGTGTGCCTTGGGCAAACTTCTGCCCCGCTGGGTCAGTTATTTCCGCTATCATTTGGTGGATGGTTTCACCATGTTACCGCAGGTTTCCGCCAAATACTCCGGATGGTGGATGACGTAGCTGAGTCATGAAAGTATCAAGTGATCCTCTCCCGTTGATACACGGCATGCGTCGACGACGACAGGATATTGTCTGCCATCACAGAGGTCAACTACTGAATATCGCATGATATCATCTCCGACTGAGGGATGCCACTGGCCGACTGTCCATGAGAGCGCCACGTGTGAAATGCGTTAGCGGAGTGGCGGGTATCAGAGTAACGACATAAAAAAATCAGTTTGGAGTTGAAATATCAAATGAGGAATCTGTGTCTGTTTTGCACGTGGCAGATTATTCGACTGACCGGATTGTTTGCGACGTGTTGAACAAACCGTGGATGATGTTTTCAGCAAAATCATCCGGCCAACAGGGGTGCCTTAGCATTTTCAAACGACGACCAATCAAATTTTTAATGGCTGAAGGATGAGCAGCAGCGCCGCAGACACAATCAACAGGTTGATTCAGCTCGACGAATCGGTCGAACACTATCCCCCTCGAAAAGTATCTGGAAAAACATTACTCGTAATTTAAAGAAAATCAAGGAACCCCAGGAAACGACTTTACTGCTTGACAGAGGCCCAGGGGAGACCATGGGAACTCAAGCGAAAATTCAGTTTCTGCAGTCGATTGAGCATTCGATAAGGCACAAAAAGGCTTATGACGCGTCGCACTGTAATGATAAGCCACTTTTTATTACGCTTTTCAAGATCTATAAAGAGTTTTGTTTCACCGCACCTCAAAATTCAGAAGATTGATGATAAGTTGAGGTTCCGTACAAAACGGTTTGCAGCTGAATTTAGTGTTCTACAAACGGGAAGGTAAATAGGAAGTTGAAATAGCCAACAGAAACATATGTTTGATCCGCGGTCCCATCTGGTCGTTGCGCGCGTTTGGAAAGGTCCCGGCAAAATTCAAAGCACTCGGATCACCCTTTCCGTCTGCGTTTCATAGCAGTCTTGAAGAGTCAATCAACATCTGGGAAATCTGGGGTAAAGCGAATGCCACAGGGGATTATCAACGTCGTCATGGCTAAAAACTGAAGGTGACGTTTTTTTGTCATTGCAGCATTATTGAAACGTTATGACACGAAACGTGAGAAGGAGCAAAGTCAAAATATTCTGCACAAAATGCAAGATAAAGTCTGAACATCGGTCGCAGTTCATTTTTAGAGCAGAAGCCCAGGCTGACTACAGGAAACAACAGGAAAGCGGCTGAAAAGCGTAGAGCAATCCATATTCTATTTGCGGAGAATAGTAAGTTCTTAGAGCGGGCTAATTTGCCACTGACATTGATTAAGCTTGTTTCTCTGGCTCTCTGAAGCTTGAATACTGTTCGCACATCGAAATACACTGGATTACGCAGTCGTCTGTCATTGGGCAACACGATCGACAAAACTACTTCTCACAAGTTCTAGTCTGAATATTGCATACTCAACGAAAACGAGACGCTTCGGTAGTAAGGTCCTTTCCTCGCGTGCCACCCACCTCCAGATGACACCCATTGAGTGATCCGGTAAACGACTGCAGGACCCCAATTTGCTTCAGAGAAGATTTGCATATACAAGGACATAATGCCTCGTCAGAAAGCTAATTTTTGGGGTCTTGTAACCGAAGACTCTTTCAGTAAGAGTACAATGATTGAATGAAGATTCGTTTGTAGAAAGAGCTTATTCGAACCTCAACTGAAAAATGGGGAATCACCTCTGCATTAATCCTTAAGAAAAATTGGTGAAATTTTTTACAGACATTTCGAGTCACCTGAACTCATGACCGCACGACCCGTTTTCCCCACTGTCTCAGTATGAACTTCAAATAACATAACTGAATGAAGCTGTTCGTTTTTTTTGTTCACTTCTGCCTGTCCCCCTGTCCCCTCTTTTTGATATTCACCTTGTCAATATTTGTTGCTATTTACTGAAGCCTTATCCACATATAACTGCATGATCGCCGATGTTGTACGCCGTTAGCATTCGACCTTCATTGCAGAATAAATGATGTTAAGCAAATTTAAGTTTTTCACGCCTCTGTTTATGACATCGCCGCGTTATGATGACACTTGAACACAATTTGCATGTTGACAATAAGTGATTGCGGCAGCGAGGCTGGCTCAGGCGAAGGCGGCTGACAACAAGTCAAGAATGAAAGCGTTATTGAATTTCTTTCGGTCACGTACTCCACGACCGCCATCAAATGAGCCGCTCACAGACTGAGGAAGCAAGC